TGTTATAAATTCTGGGTTTTGATATCCAAGATACTTTGCTATGTGTCGATCTATATTTAAAGTGAATATACTATGCTTTGCATATACTTCTTGACGCTTATTTTCTGTCACCAGTGCAAAATCTTTCATTAGCATTAAATCCATGTATTCGCTAATTTATATATTATACTTGTATTAAAAGTATGTTGTGTGATTTTCTTTCTGAAGTTTCTAGAATAACTATTTATTTTGTTATATATAAACACATGACAGTAAATGCGTAGTTGTTTGTTTTGTTTATTAACAAGAATGTTTGTTTTGTTGCTTGATTTTTTAAAAATATTAGTTTTGTTTGTTGTTTGCCTAATTTGTATGTGTCTGTTTTTTTTCTGTGATAATTGATCTGCAGAACAAGGTAAACACAAATTCTCTAAAATTCTAAAAATTGTTCTAAAAATTTTAATATTTCTAAATATTATGAGTCCTGGTTATTAAAGAGCAAAACTGTTCTAAGTAACTGTAGTTGAATTTCCTTGCTCTATCTTTTTTCCTAAGGCTAATTTAGTTGTTAGTTTAGTACCGTAGTAACTTTTTTACAGAGTTTCTTTAGCTCCAAATTTGGACAAAGTGATCGTCGGGAAGAGTGTGCTTGTTTAATCGATATTTATCATTTGTATTTTAATGATAAAAATCAATAAACCTGCTATTACTTGATATATATCAGAAAATAATATAATTCAATTCTAGATATATATTGATAAAAATATAGTTATTGATTATTATCGAATTTAGTTAAACATCAATTTTCGATTGTTTGTTTTGAATCGATAATTATCTTATATAATTATATTATCATTATATTACTATATTAAACTTTGCTCAAATTACATATTAAAAAATTTTTGTTTATATAACTTACTAAATCTTTATTTAAATTTCTAAACCTTTGTTCAGATTGCTTACTAAACCTTTATTCAAATTTACTTATTAACTTTTCGCTTAAATTATTTTTTAATATAACTTATTAAACCTTTGCTTAAATTATTTTTATTAAACCTTTGCTTAAACTTTTATTCAAATTCTTTTTTTATAAAACTTATTAAACCTCTTTTTTATTAAATTTTCACTAAAATTCTTTTTTAAATAACTTATTAAACTTTTTTTTTATTAAACCTTCGCTCAAATTCTTTTTTATTAAATCTTTGCTCAAATTATTTTTTATTAAATCTTCATTTAAATTCTTTTTTTATAAACCTTTACTCAAATTATTTTTTATTAAACCTTCACTTAAATTAGTTTTTTTATATAACTTATTAAACTTTTGCTTAAATTCTTTTTTTATATAACTAAACCTTCACTTAAATTCTTTTTTATTAAATTTTTGCTCAATTATTTTTTATTAAACCTTCACTTAAATTCTTTTTTTATAAGCCTTTACTCAAATTATTTTTTATTAAACCTTCACTTAAATTGGTTTTTTTTATATAATTTATTAAACTTTTGCTCAAATTCTTTTTTATATAACTTATTAAATCTTTATTTAAATTTTTTTTTATTAAACCTTTGCTCAAATTATTTTTTATTAAATGCTCACTCAAATTCTTTTTTTATATAACTTATTAAACCTTTACTTAAATTATTTTTTATTAAACCTTTGCTCAAATTAGTTTTTTTTATATAATTTATTAAACTTTCACTCAAATTCTTTTTTTATATAATTTATTAAACCTTCACTTAAATTAGTTTTTTTATATAACTTATTAAACTTTTACTTAAATTTTTTTTTATATTAAACCTTTGCTCAAATTAGTTTTTTTTATATAACTTATTTAAATTTTTTTTTATATTAAACCTTTTCACTCAAATTATTTTTTTATATATAAAACTTACTGAACCTTCTCTACTAAGTTTAATTCTGTAGTATAGTTACTATGTGATAATCATCTAGTTTATGATAATTAATAAACAACAAACTTTTATAGTTTTTTATTTAACTTCTTTTTTAGCTTTCTAGTTTTTTTTTTTTATATAAATTCTTTTTTTTCTTATTTTATCTTTTTGTTAATATTTGTATTTTTTTTTAGATATTGTAGATAACTTTTATTGGTGTCATTTGGTTTTGGTGCTTCATCGTTAGTGTCTTTGTTCAAGTTTGGTGCTTCATTGCTAGTGTCATTATTCATGTTTGGTGCTTCATTGTTGGTGCCGTTATTCATATTTGGTGCTTTTGTGTTTGATTTTTTCAGGTGTTTTAGTAGCTTTATTTAGGTTTGGTAGTTATACTCTTTGCATTTCGTTATTACACTTCGCCGTTGGTGTCATTATTTGAATTGGTAATCATGTTTTGTTTTTTTGAGTTTGTTTTTTGTTTATAGCTTTATATATTATTAAAATAATCTTTCTTCCTTCCAAGTATTCTAGATAACTATTAATAGCATTGTTTGGTTTCAATGCTTCATCGTTGGTATTGTTATTCAAGTTTGGTGCTTTATTACTAGTGTTGTTGTTCATGTTTGGTGCTTCATCATTGGTGCCATTGTTTATGTTTGGTGTTTTTGTATTTGATTTTTCTAGGTGTTTTAGTAGCATCGTTTGGGTTTAGTGGTTATGCTTTTTGCATTTCTGTTTATGCTTTGCTATTGGTATCTATTCGGGATTGGTAATCATGTTTTGTTTTTTTGGGTTTGTTTTTTGGGTTTGTTTTTTGTTTGTAGCTTTATATATTATTAAAATAATCTTTTTTTCTTTCAAGTATTCTAGATAACTATTAATAATATCATTCGGTTTTGGTACTTCATTATTGGTGCTATTGTTTATGTTTAGTGTTTTTGTGTTTGATTTTTTCAGGTGTTTTAGTAGTGTCATTCAGGTTTGGTGGTTATGCTTTTTGCATTTCTGTCATTATACTTCACTGTTAGTATTTATTCGGAATTGGTAATTGTGTTTTGATTTTTGGGTTTGTTTTTTGTTTGTAGCTTTATATATTATTAAAATAATCTTTCTTTTTTTCAAGTATTCTAGATAACTATTAATAGTGTCATTTGGTTTTGGTGCTTTGTTGTTGGTGTCATTGTCAAGTTTGGTGCTTCATTACTAGTGTCATTGTTTATATTTGGTGCTACATTGTTGGTGCCATTGTTCATATTTGGTGTTTTTGTGTTTAATTTTTCCAGGTGTTTTAGTGGAGTTATTTAGGTTTGGTAGTTATGCTCTTTGCATTTCTAATATTATGCTTTGCCATTAGTGTTATTATTCGGAATTGGTAATCATGTTTTGTTTTTTTGTTTTTGTTTTTTGTTTGTAGCTTTATATATTATTAAAATAATCTTTCTTTCTTCCAAGTATTCTAGATAATTATTTAGTATTGTTTGGGCTTGGTTAGCATATTTTTTGTGTCTTTGTCATTATATGTTATTGTTAGTTTGTCATGGTTGTGCTTTATATCATTTCACTTCATAATTAGTACTGTTGTTTGGTTTGTAGTCATTATACTTTGTTATATTTGTTGTTATATTTTGTTGTTGGTTCTATTGTAATTGACTTATAGCTGCAATAAAAATATAATAAATTTTTTATATAAATTAAATAATTTGTTATAAATTGTATAAATTAAAATTATATATGGAGGCATCTATAAATAACATTATACTTGAGAGAAGGGAGGGGTCCCCCAAAATATAACGATTTTCCAATATTTAGAGGAAGTCCCCCAAAATATAACACAATTTTTTATAAAAATTTAGCTAAAGTTTGATTCAGTGGTCCAAATTGGATAATTTTAGTACCATTCGAATCATCTCGAGGAGAGGAGTCGAATGGTACCAAAATAATTTGATTTGGATTACTGGATCATGTTTTATTAATGAAATACTATTGGTTATTATGTTTTCTTATAAAATTATTATAAAATCAATAGTATTTCGTTAATAAAACGTTATGCAGTAGTTCAAATGAAATGATTTTGATACTATTGGATTTGTCTCACTGAGACGAATCGAATGGTACCAAAATTATCCTAATTGGATCACTAGATCATAATAATATATACAAGTTTTTGTAAAATTTTATATATAAATATATAGATTTTTAAAAAAATTTTATATAGTCTAGGGGGGTTAAGAGCTACTATGTATAGGTCATAGACAGACATTTGTCTGATTGGCTAATGTAAATCAATTGCCAGGTAACTTATTTATACAGTTTAAAGTACTTTTTGAAAATGTAATATTTCACTACAGTACTAATAAAAAATCACTACAAAAGCCATTTTTCGCTTCGTAAGAACATTTATATTCACCATGCAAAAATAATCAAAAATAATCAGTAACTACAAGAACTTCACTTAGAAGCAAATATTTTTACTATTTATTATAGTATTAGTCATATTAACTGTATATGTAAGTTCTAAATGCTGGAAATGGTCAACAAAAAAAAAGAAGATTGAAACGTTACGTGTAAGATCCAAACCTAAAAAACTTTGTTATACCATTTAGCATGCTATTATAATAGAAAGCTTATACTAATGCTCTTATTTTATTTACTTTATGTAGTTTGAATATTATAGAGTAAAACATTAGTAACTTCGGGTTAAGTAGTAGGTTGATAGTATTTACGATATATGAGTATTATTGTTTCATTAATTATATGGGCTAAAGGTCGTGTTGTACCTCTAATAAAGGTCATGATAATGAAATAAAATCGAATTACTTTGATTTTTTCAAAAGATAATAAAGATAGTTTCGTTAATAATTTATTCATGTATTAACTCTTTTATGAGTTGGGTATTTAATAATAAATATTACATTTATAACAAACTCATATTCACATAAGTTTACAATACATATATATATCAAGATTTCATGTTGGCATGAATAAAGCATTCCGATAATTCCATAACTTAGTAGTGATAACTTGATTGAGGCCTATAATATTTCATGCAAATTTTTTTTATTCGTAAAATATTTAAGCTAAACTAACGTTCTTTATTTCATTACAGAAGAATATGATATTATTACAATCAGTTTCAATACTACGTATTATTTGTTATTTATTACTAAACTGATTAGATATCATTCCTTAATTGTTTTTTACGAATAAATAATAATACCTTCGAATTTATTGAATTTACTAATTCCCCCACCGCTTCTGATTGGTTCTACTAATCATTCATATATCGGAGCATCTGTGCTATTGATCAATTTTATAGTACTCCGATATTGAAGTGGTGGGAAAAATTAGTAAACTCGAATTTATTGCGGTTTGCATAATTTTGTGACCCCTATGATTGACTCTTTTATGATTAAATGATTGTGATTGCGATCACAATTGCTAAAACCAGCCATTAATCTAAGTTTGTATCAAGCTCAGATTTATGATAAATTGGCCGGCTTTAGCAATCGCGAATGATTTAATCATAAAAAAATTGATCATAGGGATCACAAAATTATGCAAACCGCAATAAAATTCATAACAGCATTTTTATGTAATTCTAAAATTACATAATTGCTAGATTTAAAAGAAATTTACTCTTTAATCAACAAGTAACCGTCCACCACTAGCCCAGTGTTAGAATATGATATTGTGTTATTGAACATATTACAATCAGTGTTCTAACTACGTATTATTTATTATTTTAGAAAATCATAACAGATAAGCCCGATGATTGTGGAATTTTGACGATACGTATACTTCGCCCAATGCATTGTCCAATGGGATGCAAGTTTCATACCAGCATCGTTTCACTACGTTCTTGATATGTTGTACGCATTATCTAATATTAAACCTTTTCCGTGATGAACTTTAATAAAAGGGATGATCATTTATCTCCAAACACAAAATACTGTGCATGCGAATAAATTATTTTCATTCTCAAGTAAATTTATACTGTATTGCTGCCAAGGGGAAAAGGCCGTTCGGGCTTTCAATTATATTTTGTGTACAGTTAGCCGCCGTCTATGGGAAAAAAATCCTTACGTTTTTTTATATGTTGCGAACGGCCTTTTTCCCTTGGCAGAACTCATATGTGAGACAATATTTTTATGGTAATGAGCCATGTGCCAAGTTCGTGTGGAGTAATTAGGTTTTGTACTTTGTTTCCCATGGTTCAATGACGAATACAGCCAAGCGATTTACAATTTTCTATTTTCAGGAAATTTATTCTGAATGAACACGTTTTTTCATTGAGAATATCTTTTATTTTTTCCAAGACATGGTTACAATGTCTGACATACCTTTACGCCAGAATTTTTGGAATTTAGATATGTAACATTTCATAATACTGTAACAAAGTTAAAAATTTCAATCAATCCTCGAAATATGGTTACGTACGTACAATTCATGACATAAATACGACGTTAACGCTTCTAATTTCCTAGTATGTTCTTTTGAGGTACTGTACTTTACAAAGTCTTGTACGTACGTACGTACGTAATTATAAATTCTATTAATATGGTAAAATATTAAATTGATTAATTTAGTAATCCTATTCTTTTTTAGTTATCGCTATTCTTTTCTAATCGGAAATTCACTCATTATTCAATAAATTTAGAAAAACTGAACAATAATGAATAATTTTAACATTTAAATTTACAATAGTTAGGTTGATCGAGATTACCGGTGTTGTTCATAATTTATATAGCGATGCTTGATCAGTATTAATAAACCTTTTTACACTATTAAATAAAATAAATGAATTCTAATAAAATACGAAAGTCCGAAGAATGTTAGTCGCTGTGTGTGTGTACAAATTACGGTAATCAAACATACCCTTAGTTACCGTTATACTTGAGTAGTTGTGTGTTAAGGTGTGATGTGTGATCGAATTCTGGTATGAACATAATATTTATCATTATTGTAGTAAAATTTAGTCATTCAGTTACGCAAAAAACAATATTAATTTTAGTAAATATTTTTTAAATATTTGAAAATTAATATTACTGGTTACATAAAAAAATGCCTTAATTTGTCAAAATTATTATCTTTGGACCAATTTATAATGTCATAATGTCGACATATTATGAAGCTATTAATTAAATCAAATAACAAAATAGGCTTAATTTACGCTATTTAAAGATATTTGTTACCGTTATCGACGACTCAGCAATAAAAAAAGGAATCATTCATCAAGACAAATATTTATTATCGGAAAGGCTGAGATGAATGAATGGTTAAATCGCGTAAAAATAAAAAAGGCTAGAGATGCGAATTGGATTTGTAAGATTAAACCTATTTACATCTAGCCATATGGATTCAATTCTTATAAATAGCCCTCTTATTCTTCTAAGTCACTTCATTCCTTCGAAGTTTAATACATACTAACTTCTAAAGAATCTTTTAAGTTACGGACTTTTTAATAAGATTACTGTTTTAAAAAAATCAAAATGAATTTCAATAAACGATTTTATTTCTTGGTCCTCGTAATCTGCATCATTCTTGCAACATGCACTTACTCAGCACCTGTACCTGGTGGTGATGATGACAAGAAGGTAACAATTAAGATTGATGCTGATGATATTAAAGTTACAGAAGATGAGAAAAAAGAGGAATTCACCATTAAAGTACCATTTAGTGTATGTTTTTTTTCACATTTATTTACTTATTTTGTACATACACTTTATCATAAGATGAAATTTTAACGAATATTACATATTATTTTTATAATCTAGATTACTAATTGTCCAAAAGGAGGTACGTTATATATTGATAATTTCATATATATATAACTTATTAATATAATCTTTTTATTACTTTAGACAAGATCGATGCCTCAATTAAACTCAAATCAGGTGATGGCACGATCTCGGGAGATGCTAAGAAGGTAATTTCCTTTTCTTTTTCTATAATGCATAAATATACATATGTATATATTTATTTTAAATATAATTTTTTTTTTAATAATATAAATCATTAGACTGTAGATGCAGATGACAAGTCTGTATCATTCACAGTTTGTGTTAAAGATGGTAAAAAAGCTACTTTCACTGTCACTTTAAAGGACGAGAAAGCAAAAGCCTCTGTAGATGTTACTATTGATGAAGGAAAAAAGAAAAAGGATTAATGAAAAAACTAGTACATGAAAATTCTATATTTTCATAATTACTTGTTAGGTTTTTTTTAAAAAAAATATTCTTAAGTTAATGTTACATATAATGTTTTTTTAAAGCTCTTTATCAATTTTTATTTTTTTTTCAATAGCTCCATGTATTGATTTTCATTTATTAATAAACGTTTTAAATGCAGTACTGTATAATTTAATATAAATAATAAGAATTTTGCCAAACAATCCATATACTATGCATATATAGCTTATTCGATTTAATCATTGCAAAAAACAGCGTAAAAACCTACATTTATTTCGAGTCAAATTTTTAATATTTGATCAAATAAATACTTTATTTACAAAAAACGACCTATTTCAGTAAATTTACTAAGGACATATCGTTTACTATGTAGAATTCATACAGTTCTAAATTATCAATGATGTAAACAAATTTAAATATGAGAAAATCTCTAAATTTTTGCAAAACTCTTTAATTTATTACTGCACTTTATCATGATTTTTGAGCATATTCATAACAAAACATATTTGGTTACGCATATTTTTATTTGTTGTACTACTATAGAGATAAGTTTGTTTGCAAATAAGCGTGTAACAACTTTGTTACATATTCTATTTTTCGAACTTTGATGTTACATATTCTATTTTTCGAGCTTTGAAGATATTCCAATAATTACTTGGTCAATCTAAGCGAAATGGACAGTATATTATTAAGATACCTTCATTCAAAGTACTGTGTTAGTTCATTACCCCGGGGATTCATAATGCTGATTTGCATGCAATATAACAGACAAAGTGTGTAACCGAGTAATATAATACCATATATCCGAGCGATAATCTAATGTTACGGGATGGTTTGTACGATCAATAATTTAAGAACTAAAATATAGACTTTATGCGATAAGCAATTCGCCAGAGGCGTGACGTTGGTGACTTCGGGTTAGTGAACTTATGTGATCCTACCCCGCACATAAGTGTCGTAACCAACAAACCTTAACCAAGTGGCAAATACCAGGAACGTAGTGAAACGGAGAGTATGGCTTAGTGAAGAAAGAAATGATGTATCTAATTCCCGATTGGTCGGCGTGATCATATCTGCCAGATATTCACATAGTGTAGGATTTAGCAATTATTGCACAGCCACAATTTTTTTCGGCACCTAATTGCTTCCACAACTTCTGGCAGATTGTACCGAATTGTACAAATCTACGTGTACATTGGCGTGCTTTGAGGATATACTAGTTGTGGTTCGTGTTATACAGAAAGAGACTCAACCTATACTATATAGTATGTGACGAGTTAAATTGCCTATGCCTACTTTCCCAACAAGCCATAGTACCACTTCTCTAAAATTTCTTGATCAACTGACCTTTTCAACATTATTTATGTTATTTATCGCTGTTTGCAAATTGATGTGACCTTTGATAAAATTTGTTACTGCACATTCGATTGTTCAATTGCAGTCGATTTACAATCAATTGTACGTGATTGTATGCGATTTCTCAGCAACCATCTAATCAAATTATATGTTTGAATTTATGAATCAACAGAATTCAAATAAAAAATAAGTTCATCGAATTTGATCAGTTGGTTACTGAGATACCATCGCTCAAAGTTTTTTTTTAAAAAGAAAGTTAATAGAAGCTGCGGCAAAATTTTTCCAAAGCTTTGAACAGATATATTTCAACAACCAACTAATCATATTCGATGGATATTTTTTATATTTAAATTCTATAGATGCATAGAATTCAAATAAAAATGTTTCATCGTATTTGATCAGGTGGTTGCTGAAATATTTTAAAATATTAAATCAAAATAGAAGCTGTATCAAAATTTTCCTAAAATTTTAGCGAAGATGTCTCTGATCATCTTTGATGAAAAGTTTTTTACTTGAATTTTATAGATTTATAGGATTCAAATAAAAAAAAAAAATTCATCGAGTCTGATCAGATGGTTGCCGAGACATCTTCGCTTAAAGTTTTAAAAAAAAAACTTAATTTAAGGGTTTTTCTAGGCATTTCTGGTCAGAGATATATAACTTATATATATCTCTAGCCTACTAACCAATCAAAATGCAAGGAGGTCACGTGACGCACGTTTCGGACCAACTCACATGAACATAGCGGGCACAGGGACACGGAAAAATTTTGATATTATTTTGTAAATATTGTTTTGGGTAACAGCAAAATTGTTTTTTATTGTGATATAAAATTTAATCAAAATTTTGATTAAAATATATAATATTTAGCATTTTTAACAAATCTAATGAAAGATTTTGTCTATCTTCTGCTAAAATATTATTATAATTTGAGAAACTTAATTCAACCCACAAGAAGAAATTGGAAGCCAAATATATTCTTAAGTGATCTTGCTTAATTCTGGTAATTGCTCTGACAATATTTCTTATAACTCTGCCAAATTATCATATTTGATTGTTGCTAATTCAAAGTTACAGTAAACCATCCATTCATACATCAAAGAGGAAGAAGGATTGTCTAATTCATTAATAATACAATAGGAATGAATATCACAGTTAGCAGTAGTAAGACGAACAAAATTTGGATTAAAAATTTGTATAGCTTGAAACAAGAGTTATGCTGGGTGATTTTGAATATAATTTACTTATTATAAGCAAGATTAAAGGTATTTTGAAAAATTTAAAAAAAGAATCAGGCGAATAATTATTTGTAATAATAAAGTCCTTGATATTGGAAGGAAGAATAAACGAAGTTTGATTGTTTTGAATATATAGTTTGAGTTGTTTAAGATGTGATTCAATATAAAAAAAACAATTAGGATTTGAATTTGAAAAAAGTCTAACTTATTTACAAAAACTTGCCCAAAATATTTAATAAAATGAAGATAAACTTCAACAAGAAAATTATACTATGAATTATTAAAAGTTTTAACAATTTTTTCAACAGCAGAAGAGGAATTTTTATTTTTTCTTTATGGTAGAACTTACATATATAATTTTTTTTTTTTTTTTTTTTTTTAATATTGAAGTGACCACTTAGGCCCCTGGCACTTTATTAGTTCAAACGGGTGGGCCGTCCGAAGACTGGCTTACATATTACATCAG